AGAACTTTTTTACTTCTGATGCATAATTTTCAAATAAAACGTGAAATAATAATTCTTGACATCTTAATATATTATTCCACCCATTTTTAAGTTCCTAGAATATAAGAAACTAATCCATTATCTAATAATATTAAGTCCCATGTGATTCTCTCTTTCGTACCAATTGTCACAATAAAGCTGACTGAGAAGTGGAGATGTTCATCAATCTTTTGCATCCATTATCATCCAAATTCAAGAAAGAAAAAAAGATGCCCTGCCGTGATCATGGAGTGACTGGAAAAATGTAAAAGTATTGTGGTTCAACTGGAGTTACATTCCTATCACAATCATTGCTTGTGTCCCTGTTATCCTTTTCTTCTGGTTGCAGCTTCCTTTGCTTTTGCAAGCGATAAGAGTCGAACCTGGACCTGGCATTTTTCAGGGACAAAGGGATCGCAAGCTTTGGTGATCATGGAGACTCCATGATGGAGCCAAGGGGGGGCTGAGGGGGGCCATGGCCCCCCCTAAGTTTTAAAATTTTTAATTCATAGTATGTAAATATATGTATAAGACAAAGTTATTTACGTATAAGACAAAGTTGGCCCCCCCTAATTTTTTACAATTTTAGTTTATATTATGAGAGTTTATATATATATATGTGTGTGTGTGTATGAATTAGTCATCTTTGATTTAATTTTTTCTTGAAAAAAAGTTATTTATTTTTAATTGTGCTAATTATTTAACATTCAAAAAATTAAACATATAATTTCATGATCCATAGTAAATTGACCCAATTTGATATATTATAATAAAAGACTCAATTCATAATTATGAATGGGCTAAAATAAAAATAATTACTTTATTGGTCCATATACAAATATACAACTTAGCCTAATTGATAAAAAAATTTAAAATTAGTGATCTATCCTCTTGTTGACCCATATACAAATATACAAATAATTACTTAAAGGCTTGGTGAAGACAAGAAATTGAGTGATCTATCATGTTGTTGACAGATTGATTATATTTGTTTTCACTCTTCATGTATCAACTACAACTGTAGAACAGACATTTTTAATTATAAATATAATCAAAACAAAACTGCAAAACAAGATAAAAGATAATTTCTTGAATGATTGTCTAACAATATACATAAAAAAGGGAAGTTGTTCAAAAATTTAGCACTGATTCAATTATAGATGAATTTAGTTATATGAAATAATGTAAAGCTCAATTTACTTTTAAGAAAAGAGGTTGAAATTTCAAGGTGTGCGAACATAACTTTTATCTTTTTCTAAAATTGAAAATAGTTATATTTATATTGCATAGTTATATTTTTGTTTTTGCACAAGTGACGTATTGGATCATCTTCTCATAATGTACAATTTGGATAGTTTGTACTGTTATAAGATATTTAATCAAAGGTTATTTCTTGTTCTAATTTTTGTTATGACTATGCTGCATATTTATGAAATAGACATACCTTTATAATTAAATTTAATATTTGATATTTTAAGATGTCATATATTTAAATCGATGAAATTTATTTTGAATATAACATATTAAGATAATTTTGTTCAAAAAAATTTTGGCCCCCCTCCCAAGGAAAAAATCCTAGCTTTGTTCTATAGTCTATAGAATGGACATTTTCAATTATGAAGATAATCAAAACAAAACTCCAAAACAAGATAAAAGATAATTTCTTGAATGATTGTCTAACAATGTACATAAAAAAAGGAAGTTGTTCGAAAATTTACCATTGATTCAATTAGAGATGAATTTAGTTCTATGAAAGAACGTAAAGCTCAATTTACGTTTAATAAAAGAGGATGAAATTTCAAGACATGTTAACATAATTTTTATCTCTTTTTAATTGAAAATAGTTATATTTATATTGTATAGTTATATTTTTGTTTTTGCACAAGTGACATATTGGAGCATCTTCTCATAATGTGCAACTTAGGTGGTTTGTGATGTTATAAGATATTTAATCAAAGGTTATTTCTTGTCTTAATTTTAGTTATGACTATGCTACATATTTATGAAATAGACATATCTTTATAATTAAAGTTAATATTTGATAGTTTAAGATGCCATATATTTAAATAGATGAAAATTATTTTGAACATAACATATTAAAATAATTTTGTTCGAAAAAATTTTGACCCCCCCAAAGAAAAAATCCTGGCTCCGTCACTGATTATTGGAGTGACCGGAAAAAAGTAAAAGTATTGTCATTCAACACTCGAGATCATTTAGAAGCACTGATGCTTTAAAACTTAACTCTGCAACACTCAAGAGATCATTCTTGATCACATTGTAATGGATGTAGTACTTTCTAGCATGTAACACAAAGAATAATCACTTTATTCTTGAGCTGTAAATTTGTCTAGACATGAACTCCATTATCATGAATGTGGATAAGAAAGGGCGATCAAAGAAAAAATAAAACCATAATTTATCGAGATGGAGTAAGACATTTGGATGCTCCGCAACCCAGAGATGCTTATGAAGATCGAACGTGGTTAGAATTAGCAGTGTTTTGAACTTTTTTGGAATATATTAAAATCAAAGCTTATTAAATTTATTCATTCAGATTACTTGTAAATGAATTAATTTGTTAATTAGGTTATTGCAAAGCTTTAGGTAATCCGAGTTCAACCCGTCCAATTAATTAAGAAAAGGGCAAGCTTCAGTTGAGTTCAAGCTCCACAAAATTATGTATTGAGTTTTGGAGAAAGATACCCAGCTCTACTTAAACCCGTTTTTTTTTTCATAGAAGTATTCATGAATTAATATTGTCTGAGTTTATAAAAGTAATGACATAATGCGCAAAATTTTTGTGCATTTATCTAAGAGCTTCATGTCAATGCATAAATTTGGGGTTTCTCGCGATCATGATAATTTATATTGAGTTCTACTCTGTTTACATAATTATAAAATACCATTTTGGAAACATCAATGTGGGGATTTAATTTATTTTCTTTTTAAAGTGGGTTGGACCAAACTCGAGCAATGTCGTAATATTATTGTGGTTTGAGCTTGTGCTTTAATATACTACCCATTAATCCCCTTATAAGAACTAATTCTTGTAGCACCCTCCTCCTAATTTTCACAATGTTTTTTATTGGTTTTCTCAGACTGGCATCATAAATAAAAAAGAAAGGGGAATGGTTCGCCCATCCCACCGAACCAAAAATAGATTATGTAAATGAGTTAAAAAAAAAAAGAATACTATTTTTTTATTTTAAACATGACCTGATCCCAAGATGGATAAAGAAACAAAAAAATTTCTATTTAAAGCATTAGATCTCCTCTATTATCTCAATTAAGAGGGATCGTTGAAAGGACAGGTTCAAATTACGATCAATTCCTTTTTCAAATCTTGTTGTAATGCTCAAATCCTTCCCACATGCCATAAATGACCCACGAAGGAGAAGACACCTTAAACTTTAGGAATGTCACACTAGAAGTGAGAAGCCAAAGCTCTGTCCTTTATTTCTCTCGCTTTTTACTTTTTCTTTTCCTTTTCTCACTTCAATAGCTAGGCTAAAGTTTTTCTCTTGCCATTTCAGTTTTCTGTTAATTGAACTAAATTGGCACGAAATAAAGTTCATATATTATATCGTCTCATTAACCAATTCCAGGTGCAATCATCGACGTCAAACCACTTTAACAAATGGTATCAACCCTAGTTGGTGATATAGACTGAACATTGTTGTTGGACCCATTCCATTCTCTTTTGTCTAAGTTATTGAGATATAAGCTTTGCAAAAAAAAAAAAAATTGAAAGGAATATAAAATCTTAGAAAGCTGTGTTGGGTTTTTCTAGAAGAAAATAACAGTGCAACAGTGATACTAATAATAAGAGTTTGGCAAACTATGTGAGCACACCTTAAGAGTGTTTTTTTTTTGCCAATAATTAATTAAGAGAAAATATCTAATGTAAGGATATAATGAATATAAGTATGTGCGTTTACATGACAAGTTATATGTAATTTAAATATATTGATAAATGCTCGCTACTGACCATTAGAAATTATTATTATTACCATTGTTTTGGTCATTAGTATTAGGAACCCTCCTCAATTATAATATGTGAATTTGCCAGCCGCCAAATTGGAAGGACTCCAACCAGCAAGGGAGGAAGGGGGTCACTGGATGAATTTGAAGCATCTGAACCAAAAAAAAAAAAAAAAAAAAAAAGTACACTAGGGGCAGTATTATTACACAGTTTCTCTTTTCTTTCGAATTGAATGCTGTCTATGGAATGGCCTGAATCATTTCCTGATGCGTCTAGGAACTTACTGGAGAGAAAAGAAATTAAACTTTGGTTGTTAAAAAAAAAATAACAAATTACAATGCACAAATGCTGTAAACCAACCTTACTTATTTATTTTCCATCGCAACTGGTCAACTATATAATATTTAATATTTTAACTTTAAAAAAAAAATTTATCGGTTTCTTCCATTTCTTTACATCTTTTGCTCAAACCACCGCCAGATGATGGGAAAGTGTACATTTTTAAATATTGTGTCTATCCCCAAAGTTGGGAGGTGTTTGCTCTTTGCCTCTTCGCTGTGTTAGATTAATTTTCTTAACTCGTGCGGCTTGATAATCCACCAAAGCTTCTTTACCAAGTCAAATGAAAGGGTGAGAACTGGAAAAGCGAATGTACCAATCATTCTGGTAATAAAATTGCAAGCAGTCAATTCCAAAAAAAAAAAAAAGGGCTTTTATTCTGTCGGTTGTCTCTAAAGTTCAACGCACACTTAGGTGGTATTAAGATAATAAGGACAGTTTTGATTATGTTGGAATAATTCATCATCTTGGATGTTCACCATAGACGTCAAGAATACTAAAAGGAAAAAGGAAAAAGAGAAAGATAAAGAAGATTATGTCACAGGTGCGATGGAGAGTACTTTTTGTCTTTGGAAGACTCTCTTTAATGTCACAGCATGTCACACAAGGAATGCCCACTTTTTTTGGATATAAAACTTGAACCTCTATTATCACAAGTGAATTAAAGAAAGGCTGACCAAAGAGAAGAAAAATATAATTTATCGACATGGAGGACAGCATGCGTAGTGCGGCGGACGACAGCATAATCGATATTCTCCGCGACGAAGGATTTCGTGACAAGTTGAAACAAGGTAAGAAGTAATTTTTTTTTTCTTTTTTGGCGCTCTGTTAGAGAGTATTATAAATGAAAGCTTCATAAATTCATTCATTCAGCTTACCTGTCTAAGTTTTGACTGCTAATCAGGTGTTCGTAAATTTTCGTTAGTCTAGACCGCATCCGATCATAACCTTGCGCTCTTATATTTTCTTCAGACTTTGGAGTGAGAAATGGAATAGAAACCTAGGCCCCGCCTTTCTTTAATTGTGGCTTGTTGGCCAATCCTATTTAATTGAGTTCACAAAACTTCTGGAGAAAGATGGGCTCAGCCATACCTTTTAGGCCGGAATACAAATCATTTTAGGTATTAGCGTTCGTTAATTATTCTTGCATAAGATATTATTCTAAAGAGTAATGAATTATTACACAGAAATTCGTGCATCTTTCTAGGAGTTTCATGTCAATGCATAAAATTTATAGGAGTTTCTAGGAGTTCTATTTTAAACAGCAAATTTGGAGATTTATTCAGGAGGGGATGCGCCAAACTGGACCAAATTTCCATATATATATATATATATATATATGGAAATTGGCCATATTTGAGGATGGACAATTGGCCAACGTACCATGCTTGACCGAAGCTTGACCTTTTTTTCCCCCTCTTTTCTTTTTTGCTTTTTAGCTCAGCATATTCTTGCATTTTGGTAGGTGAAAAGGAACTCAAGAAATTTGGGGGTCAGCAAATTGTTGAAGCTGCTATAACCAAGCTCCCGAAACTCTACAGAGCAGCAATGGAAGGAGATTGGGAAGTTGCTGGTCACCAGTTTCGTCACAATCAAGATGCAAAGACAGCAAAAATCTCCAACCTCGGCATGACAGCCCTTCATGTGGCAGCAAGTTGTGGCCAGTCAGAGTTTGTGCAGAAGCTTGTGGAGGAGTTAGCTGAGGAGCAGCTGGCAAAGTTGCAGCTTGAAGCCAGAGACCAACTTGGCCGAACTGTTCTTCATCACGTGGCCTTAGCAGCAGATGTGGACGCTGCCAAAGCAATGGTGACCAAGAACCCAATTTTGCCTTACCTCGGGGATGTGAATAGACTTACCCCCCTCTTCTATGCTGCTAAATGGCGACATCCATCAGAAAGCAAGAAAATGGTGGAATATCTGTACGGAGTTAGTCTTGAAGAAGATTTGCCTCGTGACCATGTCGGCAGAGATGTTTGCAATGCCTTCACGGATGATTCAGCTCCCGATCTCATTGTGGCAATCACTGCTTCGGGGTCATATGGTGAGCCTGGCCGCCGTACAGATAAGCTCTATACATATATGTGTGGCCATCTTATGAAGTTATTGTGCAAAATTTCTAATTCATAATAATTTTTTTATTAAAAATCCTTCGATTTTTTATTAGAGGAGAAAATGTAGGTTAGTTTCCGGACATGGGGTGGTGGCGCTTCCTGCCCCCATTTCCATCCTTGCCTCTAAGATAATAAAAACTTTTTGAAAAAGCTCAATTGCCTCTATAAAATTCTTTTAAACCAAAGAATCTAAAATGATCGTAGATTTCTATTACAGATACTGCTTTGCGTATCCTTAAGAGATATCCGGAGTTAGCTCTTAAAAAAAATCCCGAAGGAACGTCCATACTTCATGTACTTTCAATGAAACCTAAGGTATTCCGGAGTGGAAATGAACTTTCTCCATTGAGATCTTGGATCTATGATTGTAAGTACTCCTTTTCGAATCTTCATCCTTAGAATTTCTGGTTCGCTTAAGGTATATTCTGCATATGATATTTCATTTTGCTTAGACAGTGTGTCTATATATACAATATACATATACATTTATATATTTACGCACACACTCTTAACTCTTAAGTATATGCTTTCTTAAGTAAAATTGCTACGTGAAAGTTATTTCTTTCATTTCCAACTCATTACTGTAGTGTAGATTTCCTTGTAGCTGAAATTCATCATTATCAAGTACATTGATATGCGATAGACAGTTCTTCAGTTTATTAGTTCCAATTTATGTGGTTTTATTCTAATCCTCCGTTAATCTTTAGTGGTACCAGTTGACGACGAGGAAACACAACACGAAGATTCAACAAGTGATGGTGCTAACAGCAAGAATCGATGCTCAGCAGCTTCGTTCTTTAAATATTTGGGCAAGTTCATTAAAGGTTTGGAAATTTTGTGTCTACTTTATCTTTGTTTATTAATCTAATTCGACATTGGGGAAAATGAAACAATAACGAATATTAGTTCATTATACTCCTAATTTGGATGGCTAAAATGTTTGTTTAGGGTTAATTACATCTGCATCCTGTGAGGTTTAACCAAATTGTGAAATCTATCCTATGAATTGCCCATATTACAGTCAAACCGCTTAAATGACAAAACATTTACCAAGTGCCCCCTTCACGTTAATTACAGTAAAAAACAATGCTTGGATTAGTACAAATGCATATCTGAAAGCCCCAAAATACTCTTTTATAAATTGAGTTAATTACATTTACCTTCCTTAAGGTCTATCCAAATTACGTTTACCTCCCCTAATATTTGTCCAATGGATAAAACAAACCTCATAATTTGTCCAAATTAGTCCAAAACTTTAAAATGAATAACTTCTATTAAATAAGAGTAAATCTTTTCTACATTGTCAGTTTAAATTTGTTTTACACTAGTTATCCATGATATTGTGCCACCTCACCAATAGAAGTTTGTACTCCCTTATAACTAGTTGACTATCTTATCAAAATTATTTAATTGAATAACATAATCCTTAAACAAAAAATAGAATTCCATGATATCTCAAACAATTCCTTCTCCTCCTTCACTTTTTTGTCTCAACCATCTCACTACCACTACTTTCTTGCCCTTCCCAAACACCCAATAGGCTTGAACCAATGTCCTTTTGCAATCAAAATATGCCCAATAAAACCTCCCTTTAAATTTGGACTAAATTGGAGTATCAAATTGGATGTAAAGAAAGAAAATTTTCCTTTATGTCGATATGGATTTGAGGTTTGGATTGGAAAATGTGATTTTGATTTCAAGCTATGTAAAATATATTCCAAAGAATTTGGGAGTAAAGAAACCTAATAGATGGATCTAAAAAATCAAAATTGAAATGCTAAGGTTCTTGAAATACTTCCCAACCCCCTTTTTTTTTTAAGTGAAAGGTCTTAAATTCAAAACCTTCTACTTATAATTCCTTTCACCTTATCACCTAATCCAACCCTCCTCCCAATTCTTCCCAACTTAATATATAACAATCCATCGATGTAAAGAAATTTGATAGGCCTGCCAATCATGGTCAATAGACATCCATCTACGTAAATAGCCATTTTCGATTGCTTTAGGAGACTTAACTTGCCCCCTATTTTTCTGAAATTTGGAGGAGATTAGGATTTTGTAATTGGATGTGAAAAAGAAAAAAATTTGGTGATTACGTAGTGTTCAAATTGGTAGAAATGATTTGGTTTCCAAGCAAGAAGAAGAGAACAAGAAGGATAGAGAGAGTCAGAGGTCTTTCTTGAAGAATGCTTCATCAATCGCCCACACGATTGATTAGGAGAGTTCTAGATGATATAAAATTGAAAGTTAATTAGCTAATTGTTTTATTTAATATCAATCTCCACTTTTTGTTTGATAGAATTGGATAAAACAGGTTATCCATTCTTATTAATGAGGTGGCGCAATGTTAGTGAGCTATCAGTGTAAAAATGTTTTATATTGACAATGTAAGAAAGATTTGCTCAATCTTTTTTCTTCTACACATTCTTTTGTCTCTCTACAGATTGCAATTAATGTAAAGAAAATTCTGATCATATGGCATCAGAAACAATACCTTTTTGCTCTTTGGCATAGTTTCTTTAGTCATCACTGTTAGATTTTTACATAAAAGCCCTTTTCCCATGTCATTGTGCAAATAATCAAACTCTAGTTTTTGAAAAAAGAAAATTAATTAATTTTAAATCCATATTTAAGCATTAAATTTTAAGGTTCTATACAAAGCCAATCATTTAAACCTACATTAAAGGTCTAACAAAGACACTTATCGAGAATTTTATTGAATTTTACGTTATGGGTAGAAAATTATATAACATAGCTAAATTTTATTATCATGCACCAAATTATATGTTTAAATAAAATGGATGATTTTTGTATAAGAAAAGTGGTTGGAGGCTGTTGTAACTGCTGAAATAAGCCATAGGCAAAAATGTTCTCAACTTTTTTTTTTTCAAATGTTGGTTTCTTAGTAGTTAGTAACCGAATGTTTTCTTTTAATTTGGGCATTATTTTTTCTATCATATTAAGTAATTAAAGAATATAAAGGAAGAAGTGAACAAAAAAAGAGGAAACAGAAAAGTTGCGGGGGCGATGCAGTGGTTGTACTGGCGGCGAGAAACAGGAGATTTACTCTATTTTAACAGCTTTTTAAAATTTTTAACTTCATGCATTGAATACTCAAGCCTGTAATTTTTTTTGAATATTCTCGGGTTTAATTTTTATTTTACAGTTAATGACTACTTAGTTCAATGAAGCCGATCGAACACTCTTAGATCAAATCTCATGTTTGGATGGGCTATATCACAAAAAATTAATATTTGTGCGTGCTTACGTTACTTGTCTTGTCTTTTCTATTTGTCGCAGGAATAAGAGAGATGTCTGAAATGAAGCAAAGCCACGGGCGTGCTGTTAGACTTGTAGAGTTTGTATGTGATGAGTTACAAAAGAAAGAAAAAGAGGAAGAGGAAGAGAAAGAGAAAGAGAAAGCGAAAGAGCCAGAGAAAGAGCGAGAGAAAGAGGAGCCAGAGAAAGGGAAAGCATGGGAGAAAGAGGAAGAAGAGAAAGGGAAAGAGCGGGAGAAGGAGCGAGAGAAAGAAAAGAAACAGAATGAGAAAGAAGAGAATGAGCCGAAGAAAGAGAAGGAGCAAAGCCACGGGGGTGCAGTTACTCTTGTAGAGTATGTATTTAAAAAGTTACATGTAAAGTCTGGATTTAAAAAGTTACAAGCAAAGTTACAAGAGAGACGGAAACAGAAAGAGGAAGGGAAAGAGAATGGGAAAGGGAAAATGGAAGGGAATGAGGGAGAGAAAGAAAAAGCGCAAGAGAAAGGGAAAGGGAAAATGGAAGGGAAAGAGGGAGAGAAAGAAGAAGCGCAAGCGAAAGGGAAAGGGAAAGAGAAAGCGCAAGAGAAAGGGAAAGAGAACGAGCAAGAGAAAGGGAAAGAGGAATGGAAAGACGAAGAGAAAGAAATGGACTTTGTTACGGATTTCTTCATCCCTAAGGATAGCACTGCAATCTTGCACTTAGCGGTAGAGCATGGAGTATTTGAACTTGTAGAAAAGTGTCTAAAAGCTTTTCCTGATCTAATTTGGTATGCAGACAAACCCCCCAAAAGTGTGCCGTCGCGTCATGCTCATTATACAAGCGAAGTCGTAGGACGTTTGTTGTGGAATGATACTACTCAACATGAACATGCAAGCACATCCACCGCAAAAATGTATCATCATGGTACTGAATATGCAAACACAACCTCTGGACATTGGGAGTGGCATGAGGGTCAATGTGCCGACACAGCCACCCGCACCGGACGTTTGTTGTTGCATGTAGCTATTGAGCATCGCCGAGTGGAGATATTTAATTACTTGATTACTTTGATTGGAAAAAATACTAAGGCGTATGCTGATTTAAAACTTGAAGGGAATAACAATTCTCTTCATTTGGCAGCAAATTTGGCTCCTACACCTCAACTCCAATCTGTCCAAGGTCCCGCATTTCAGATGCAGCGAGAATTACAATGGTTTAAGGTAAGTAATGCAACGTTTTTGTAATTCTATCTCAAAACCGTTTGTCAAATACTCTTTACTTTCCATATAAGATGTATGTGTACTTAGATATTCTCCTTTAACTTTTAGGCACCGATCACATTTCTAAACAGTTTTAGATTTTTTTTGGGGGGTCACGCTTTTAGTAATACACTCATTTTGGTCCATGTTTTAGAATCATACTTGTCTCGATGAACCCACTGAATTTTGAAATAATAGGACAATTAGTGTTTCCTCAAAATAAAATGTGGCATCAAAAAGCATGATGACCCAAAACTTTATGTTAACATCATAGTCATGATTTTTGCATTCTGGTTTATGATGGTAGTTTTTCCACAAAATTAATTCCCTAGTATTAGCAAATGAAGTGTATCAACCTAGATAAGTCCTTTGATTAACTGCGTGCAGGCTGTGGAAGAATTAGTTTATGATGAGTTAAAGACGGAAAAGAACTCAAACGACAAAACACCTCGAGAATTATTCTTCAATGAGCACAAAGATTTGCTAAAGGATGCAAAGGAATGGATGAAGGACACATCACATTCGTGCATGGTGGTAGCTGCTCTGGTCGCAACAGTTGCATTTGCTGCTATGATCCAGGTACCGGGTGGCACTAATAATAAAACGGGCTTCCCTGTGCTGGCAGGGAAAAAACTTTTCGTGGCATTTTCCGTATCAAACGCATTGTCCATGGTATCCTCCGCTGTTTCTCTGGTCATGTTTATCTCAATTCAAACATCTAGACATACAGAAGGGGATTTTCTGGATTCACTTCCCAAGAAATTGCTTCGAGGTCTACTTTCCTTGTCCATTGCTATAGCCACAATGATGATATCTTTTGGTTCAGCAATTGAATTGTCACTTCAGAAGATTATCAAGTGGAGTTACATTTCCATCACAATCATTGCTTGTGTCCCTGTTATCCTTTTCTTCTGGTTGCAGCTTCCTTTGCTTTTGCGAGCGATCAGAGTCGAGTGTGGACCTGGCATTTTTCAGGGACAAAGGGATCGCAAGCTTTGGCGCCTCAAGAAAATTGGCTGCCGTCCATTGGCATGTGACAGGGTATGACCTCATTCCACAGAGTTGTCTGCATGATTACATTGTATTTCTTTTACCTTTTAAAATTTAGTTTCACTTTGCGAGTTTCTTGTTTACGTGCACATGTCTTGTAATAAAATACCTACGATTGGTATTCACTCCCCGTAAAATATGCAATAGAGTGTGCGCCATATATATATATTTAATGTAATTGATTCCTAGGTAATCCATGTGTGCTTAAACATAGTACAACTATTATATATGTTTGCCACTAATATGATAGTTTCAATATGTATCCTTTTAGGTGGTTGTTTAATAAATTTTAGATATAGGTACTTGACATTCAAAAAAATGTTAGATACACGATGTGTAGTACCTGGTTAATTAAAAGTAGTATATTATAGAAAAATTTTATGATTCATTTTGGATACCATTTCCTCAACGTTTATTATTTCTTACTAAAGATGATAGTTTGAATTTTAAATACTTTAACAATATCTAACTTAAGGATCGGTAACACTTTCTTCACAATTTAACGGTGAATTTTACTTGTGATATCTAAAAAAAAACTATAAAATCTTCCCATATTATAATATTATGTCTAGCAATGCACACTAAACTTGTGGTAGAGTTTATACCACTATTATTTGGTGGTCAATAAATAGAATCGATATAGCACATGGCGTCAAAGCCTATGCAACACCTCCTGCCGCACGCTCTTCGTAGGTCAATTTGGCTAATTTGAGGAAATAATTATTTTTCTCACTGAATCAGTTTTATAATTGACATGATTATAGGCTTGGCTTTTGATGAAACAATACAACACAAATTAAAAGAAAGGTATCATCGGAAATGGGGCTTCCTTGCTCTACCATTATGACATTATCTTCTGCAATTTTAGTGGAGATATAATTGTGACATTGTGTCTGAGCATTAGAATATATATATTTGAAGTGGAAAAACTCGAAAATTTAACTACGAAAGAAGAACAAACAGAAAAACACGAATGAAATACGCATCCAAGGATCATTGTATGATGTGCTCATGAAACGAAGATGAAATTAAGGAATTAGACTTTTGTTAAGCGTAGAACTTGTTCGAAACTTTCTTACCTGTTGTGATGCCTTGCCTCCAGCAGTCAGTTAGCTAATACTCTATTATCCTTCCGTGTATCCAATAGATACTGTAACTTGCACGCAGACATTTGTTTATTTTTATTTTTTTTTTGGATAAAATAGAAGCCAATATTATTAATAAATTAGTTGGAAATCATTCAGTACGATTTGATTGACAAAAAAAAAAAACTGCACCAAGGGCTGGAAATATATAGAACATGTCACAAATAAAAATCATTAGATTTAATAAAGTAACAAATTATAAAAGATTATACTATAAACACCAAATTATCAAATTTGACCAATTCCACGAGCTGCTCCATAAATATTTGAAGCATGTCTATTCCCTCACATCTGTTATTCAATTGGTTCACGTTCAAAACTATATAGGAGGTATCAAATTATTTCTTTGTTAATTTTGTCATTTATAATTGTAAATGGTGTGTACCGCGCATAGTAGACGGGACAGTTGTGGTGGATTGACCTTTCAAAAGAATGGAGTCTATCCTATATCAATCTCCAGCAGCAGCTTCTCGGACATGAATTGTGCAAAATGTTAAAAAAGATGTTCAGTAAAAGAGGATGAATGGGGTCTTAGTTAACACTAAAGATTGAAACTATCTTTCATATATACCACATTTATTAGATATGCAAGAAGTTCAATTTGCCTCCCATTATCTGAAGAAAATTATTTGGCAACGAAATGAGGAATATTCAATTTGAGAAAAGAATATTTTTTCTGTTTGCAAATCCCACGACTTTGGCATCTTTTTTTTTTTTTTGTTGATCTAACAAGTGGTTTCACAAATAGTCAAACAACAACCTTCTCCTAATTGTTTGTGAGAAGAAGCAACAGAGTATTTCCCATGTAGGGAGAATCATCTGTGCGAAGTAAATGTCTCAAACCAAAATAAGGACATAACAGTCATTTCAACAATACTCTATGCACCTAGTGCTTGAAGATTAAAAAAAAAATGTAGTGTATGAGATACAGTGTATAATGACCAAAAAAATCCCCAAATCATATCATCAAAATTCAAAATATGAGTTTGACCAGAACTCGTTTTTATATAATCAAAAATATATAAGAATGTTATACAACTTCTTCAATTAACAAGTGCCAATTAAATTAGATAGTGTACTAAAAATGTAATAGGAAAAGTTGTAATACAAAAGATTCTTTGCCGAAAGGTCCACCCTACTTGGTTGTAATGATAAAATAATTGATAGACAATAGAATATTAAAATAAATTGGAAGAAAGAGGAGGATGAAAAGTTATGGGAAATCAAGGGCATGAAAAGACTGTTGAATAACTTGAAAAATGTTACATCATATTTTAATTTTAAGTTATAACAACTTATATTAATTATTAGTCTAATCTACGTAACTGCTAATTATATATCATAAAAGTAATCTAACGGTTGGGACATGAGGAGAGACAAATAATTCATAATTCATATAATCATTAAGGTTAAGCATTATACACTGGAACAATGAAAAGAAAAGGAAAAGAAAGTATAACTATCCCCCAATTGCATATTGCATATGTGTCCCCCAAATGTCCCTCAATTGCTTATTGCGTATCGAATTAGGGGCTTCACAAGTTTCAGTTCAAATCAAACAAATAGGATTGTGATGTAAATAAAATGGCCATTTGGCCTCAACTATATGATATCAAGACAAGTCGAATTCTTGTTATTCTATCCTACTGCATCGGCAACTTCTCAAAAAATTAGAAGAAGAAAAATCATACCTCATGAATAAGTTGAGCTGATTCAACCAACACAAGAGAAATTCAGTTATAAAGCTCAAGTAATGGACCAGCATTTTGAATGCTGAATTCATAGATCTCCTAAATTATTCTCTGAAATAGGAAGAGTATATCCTCCAGAAATTATTTTCATGTTACGAAGCCAAATGAATTTACATCCATCATTCAAATAATTTTCCCTCATTATAAAATCTATGAATTTCCTCTGAGGCAAATTTACTTGAAAGGAAATTAATTTATACACTTGATTAATTTACGTATAGACGGCTGGGGAAAACAAATAGCCGTAGTATCTACAAAAAAAAGAAAGCAAAAAAAAAAAAAACACAAAAAGAAGAAAAAGATAAATACAAAGAAAAATTGAGACAAGAGCGCACATGCAATAGAATAAGGATTAATTTTTCCTACACTGACAGTGTATACACTATCAGCATTGGATGAATGATAACTATGCAAAATTTGAATTTGAAATTCAATTTGTGCACACATGTCATCAATTCAACGATGATAGTGTATACACTGTCAGTGTAGAAAAGATTTACTCATAGAATAAAGACATAATAATAATGTGTTACTATCAGTTGGGTTAAAATCAATTTCCCATGGGGATTTTTTGGCTAAATATTAGGTCGGGTTCATTGACTCGGGTGCATGTCAAAATTTCTGTTTTGGCACTTGCTAGAAGAAAAGGATGTTTATCGAATACCAAGCCTTGTTGTGCTCCATGATTTGGACATATTTTTGTAGTTTCCCTTATGAATCTTAAGGATTATGGATCCTTCAATTCGTTAACAATAATAATATTTTGATAAAACTGTTTCATATGTCTTTATAAATCATTCAAACAAAAATGTTTGTTCATAATTAAACAGCTTATTAGGATATATATATATATATATATATCCTGTGGAAGACTTTGCTATTTTCCTATTTGAGTTCTGCATGTGGAGTGTTTTAAGAAATGTGCAAATATTTGTGAGGCCGTTGCGCTATCTATATGATATCTCTGCTTCAAATATGTCCAGTCTTAAATGCACAAAGAATAATTAATATAAAAATACCACCTAAGCTTAAGCTGTCCCCATGGCACTTATTGGTGAAGCTAGGTGCTATGTTTTTATACACTCACATCGTCCCATTTTGATAGTATTGGTTTTTTCTCACACAATTTAAGAAAAATTAGTTAATTTTGTTGGAAAAATAAATCCAGTCTAATATATTTTTAAAAATACTCTTACATTAATATTAGGCGTATCATAATCACTGTACCTTTACATTAATTACAACAATATTAATGATGATATATTGCACCATTCAAGACATATATCAAAGCAATTATTGGTAGAAAAGTTGACTATCTTAAATAATATAGGTTATATTTATAGATAACAAAGTATATAAAATAAAAATATCTTAGAGATGTTAAAAGTTAACTATATTTCTCAATTGAAAGATGGACCATAATTTAAAACGAATGAAAAAAAAATAAAATTATCAAAATGAGACGGAAGGAGTAATTGTTAAATAGTTAAATGCGGCTCCGCCCGACTTGCTTGATAAATGATAATCCACCACTTCTTACCTGCCCAGACACAAGAAAGGGTGAGCACTTAGAAATTAATGAATGTACCAATCCTTCACATGCACTCAAGAAATTATAAAGTTGCCTTTCCGAAATCGGTCGATCCTACAAAAGAGCAAATACACTTTTGCTCTATTTCTGTATAGTTTACTCCACACTTACCAACTAAGTTTGATATTGGAGACAATCCTCAACTAAATTAGAGATGATCACCAACCAAATAAACAAAAAATTTGATCTTTGTACACTGATTTTTTTTTTGGCTCGAAAACTTATTAGCAAACATCGAATAATTTTTAAACAAAACTTGAAATAATAATTCTTCTTTTACATTTATTCCATTTTTAAGTTCTAATATATATACAAGAGATTACTTCATTATCTATTACTATTATACTAAGTCCCATGTCAGTCTCCTTGTACCAATTGTCACAATAAAGCTCACTTCCAAGTAGTCAAAGATAATTGAGCTGACAAGAACGGTTCTCCTCCTGTTACAATAATTCATCATCTCATGGGTTCAGCAGTCATTTTCATCCATTAAGGGAGAAAAAAGTAGAGAAAAAAGATGTCCTGTAGTTCAACATTCGTCACCGTCTGAGAGTACTTTTTGTTTTTGGAATTCTCTTACAGTAAAACCTAATGCAAAGCTTTACCCTGTGACAGGTACCGAACCTGTGCAATAATAATTACTAAAAAGTTTTAATTACCACCTCAATTAAATAATTATGGAACAAATCCAAGTACTGGAGCAGGGACCCTAGGTGTGCAATGGGTTACTTGATTCACCCTGTTCCCGAAAAGTTTGCTTGATCCGATATACCAGATTTGTCTATAAAAATATTAATTTTGCATACAATGGCAAGTAAGGTCGATTCCACAG